AGGGTCAGGACTGGTTATTTCTTGAATGGGAGACCATCAAGGAAGTCCAGGGTTACTATGCAAAGTCAGGCAATAGCAAACCACCTTTGCTTATCTCACTACATGTTAAGTCCATAGGTATGACCTATACTTGTTAAAACATCAGACCATTTGGGGATATTCTCGACAAGACTTATATTGAAACCTGACACACGAGAGCACTCTGACAAAAGGAGTTTTGGGAGTTACTTCTTTAGTTTCCACTGTGTCCTTCTGAGATTTCACAAGGATTGCTGAAGGATGAACCGGGGTTCTTCCAGACAACCCTTCAGAAGAGGTTCATTCAACAAATAATTATTAGTGGAAATGATAATCCAACCTGTGGCCATAAGCCATTCAAAGCATAACTTCGAACCCTTCTGGTGGTGGGGGGACACATTTTCTATACTCCGGGACATGTAGTCTGACTCTCAGGCAGGCAATTGGTCCTTACAAATATGTTACCAGAAAATACTCTATGTAGTTCCTCAAACCCCACTGGAACACCATATGCCTCCCCCCCACACACACAAGGGTCAGAAAAAGCTTGTAGAACTCTTGCTACTATACACCATTTCTTAACATTTGGGCCATAAAACCTGTTCCTCCCTTAAAAGGGGGACAAGATTTCCCCCTTCATGATGACAAGAAGGAATGGAAATTGAAGGGGAGTTTTGTCTTAAAATACCCCAAGAGTACATTAAGATATTTCACATTAAGATATTTCAGAATGGAGTCTCCAGATCCATCACTGAATCCTTTCAGCCAGAGGAATATCTGACTTCAGTAGATCTTGTTGATCAGATCAAACCCTGTGTCCAAGGTGCACCAAGAAACAAAACTATATACTGTCTGCAGAACAACAGATTCCTGGTCAATCTTCAGTTAAGTTCTCTAGCACCTAATAAGAAAGTACAACACCTAGGTGTCAGGATGGTCACAACTTGCTTATACACTAGATCACTACAGCAGCTTCCAAGGCAACTACAAGTTATGACCAAGGGGGGACCCTTTCCATCAGGGCTCCCTTACAGTAAAGGCCATTTGTAAGAAACAGAGGTTGTAGGACCTAGCCTTGCATGAAGGGGAGTTTTGTCTTAAAATACCCCAAGAGTACATTAAGATATTTCACATTAAGATATTTCAGAATGGAATATCCAGATCCATCACTGAATCCTTTCAGCCAGAGGAATATCTGACTTCAGTAGATCTTGTTGATCAGATCAAACCCTGTGTCCAAGGTGCACCAAGAAACAAAACTATATACTGTCTGCAGAACAACAGATTCCTGGTCAATCTTCAGTTAAGTTCTCTAGCACCTACTAAGAAAGTACAACACCTAGGTGTCAGGATGGTCACAACTTGCTTATACACTAGATCACTACAGCAGCTTCCAAGGCAACTACAAGTTATGACCAAGGGGGGACCCTTTCTCAGGGCTCCCTTACAGTAAAGGCCATTTGTAAGAAACAGAGGTTGTAGGACCTAGCCTTGCATGTTCATTATATTCAGCTGTGAGATTTTGTTATGGGGGAGAATCGTCCTTGTAAACCTCCCTAATCTTTTTACAAGCCAGAAGGGTTAATTAGGGAGCTGAATTCTTATCAGCTGGTGGCCGGACGGCAGAGGAACAGACCTAAGAAGAGGGAGCTACTGTGGCGAGGCACTCTCTCATTAGGCTTCAAGGGGTGGGGCCAGCTATACTCTGGGCTGAAATGATCCAGTTTCTCCTATGTCATTTTGGACATCGGCAGTACCCTTAAGACCTGCATTATTGAAGCGTACAAAGCTCAATATTTGAAATGCCATCTGGGATCACTGCACACTCAGTTCGAAGTGCCACAGCCAATACTGCCCTAACCAAACACGCCACAGTCAAAGAGATAGGCAAAGTGAACACATGGTCGTCAATATCCACCTGTGTAGGGCACTCTAAGGTGAATTTCTATGACTTAGCTGACACAGCCTTTGGAAGTGACTTACAATATATTCTAGATCCAGAGGACTATGACCTACCCAGTAAATGAGGACACTGCTCTGGGAGGTCCCAGCAAGATGTCCTCTGCCTCAAAGGGAGAATGACCATTGAACACTTACCATGAAGGGTCCTTTACTCGCTTTATTTTTTTTGATTACATGTAGAACACAACTGAATATAGTATTTATTAGAATATTAAAGAATTAGTTCAGGTAATTTATCCAATCCAAATTTATCCTTGAAGTTACTGTAGCAATGTATCCAAAATAGTGTAATGGGAGCGGTGGCGCAGGCAGTAAATGCCTGCAAGTAAAACTATCCCTGAACAGCCTTAATAGCTGTTCGAGTCCCACCACGGCCCGGGTGAGCTCCCAGCCCTTATCCTAGCTCCCGCCCACCCAGTGGCTTGAAAACCCTTAACGGGGGGCACCCTACCCTACTTCCAATATTGGAGGGCAGCAGCAGCGGCTGGACGATGTGGTGGATCAATGAGAACATGATGACAGATCGGCGGCAGATGGCAGGCAACTCGGGAGGCGATTGGAGGCAGCGTGGAGGCGCGGTGACGTAAGCACGGTTGGAGCCTCCGGGACAGAGACCAGTTGTGACCTCATCGTGCAGCCGCGCGCCATAAAAGGACCATCCGAGGAAGTCGAGCCAAAGAGACGGAAAAAGACCTCTGCTGTAGGACACTACCGCCTGGTCCTAGCTAGACCCCTCCACAGAAAGACCTATGCTGCGTAGGTGCCTGGTAAGGCATCCATCTCCCCTGTTATGTATGTGGCCCTAGCTAGGTGATTAAATGTATATGTGTAAACCGCTCCGAGCCTCCGGGAAGGAGCGGTATAGAAATGTAAATCCCAGTTGTGGAAAAAAAGTCCTGCGTTGGAAAAGGACTATAAAACAGGTATTTATTAATTCATGTTGCATTTGTAAATACAAGATCTGCAAATAACTCTTTATCATCGTACATGGAATGTAGCAAACACATTTCCACAAAGACTAAACATTAGCATGTGAACTTTTGACAAGCTCAAAACTGTGAAACATTGAGTTGTATTCTGCTGCTTGTATTAATTACTATACACGTGATTTGGATGATAATTTTACAGTGCCATATCCTGTACTTGAAGAAAGCAACACAAAGATCACAGACCTAACAATACTTAATATGGATTTAGGAGAATCGATGTTATACTCATGAACAGTCCCACAAAGTATATGCTTAATGAGAAATAATACCTGATGATAAAGGGAGTAAAATCTGAAAACTGAGGTAATTAATTCTATTACATAAAAATTAAAGATAATTAGTTTTTATTTAAGTTCATCAAATATACATCAATTACTCTGCTAACTTCTTTGGGACACAAGTAAGGTGGCTTCTGAACTGGTTCTTCATAAAAAAAATTCTTCTAAAGAGTTCCAGCGGCATATGTTAACATGCACTGCTGTCTTGAACCTCGGTCCTTTCCATCTATAAGTCGAAGAGGTGCTTTTCTGTAGTAATCAATAATGTCAGCCACTGAAGTAAAATCCTATGAAATGTAAACAATATCCTTCAGTCAGCGATTCTTATAATACAACAATCTAAAAATATATATATATTGGCTCTTTTATTTATTTATTTATTTTATTTTATTTATATCCCACCCTCCCCACCAACGCAGGCTCACTGTAACTGTTTAGTTCTATAACATTTTTTTTATTTTGGGACATTGTTCTTTTGGGACCAATTAGTGAATAATCTACCTTTGTACTGGTATTTTTGTTTTAGTTTTTGCTGTTTTATATCAGTTTTTTATTAAAAGTGGCCTGACTCTTGAGTTATTAGATCTGATTCTGCTCAAATACAGCACATGAATCTGGAGAAAGTTTAAAGGAGGAGGATTAAAAAGAGCTGGACTGCTATAGATGATAAATGCTAAAGAAATGCTGTGGCAACATGTCATACCTCACTTCCTCTCAGACCAGTTCCTAAGAAGTATATTTGATCTTCTGGGTGGTATCGTATCTGAAGATTGTATACTTTGTCATTGTATAACACCATCAAGACATAGGGTTGTTCAAGAGTTTTTCTTGAGCTGTTTCTTACTAAGAAAGTGCCATCCTAGAAAAACAAGAAGAAGAAGAGAAGAGATTGGATTTGTACCCCACCCTCCACTACCCAAAGGAGTCTCAGAGCAGCTTACAAGCTCCTCCCCCTTCCCCTTCACACAACAGTCACCCTGTGAGGTAGGTGGGGCTGAGAGAGCTCTGAGAGAAACTGTTCTTTTTCAAGAATAGCTCTGCCAGAACTATGGCTTGCCCAAGGTCATCCAGCAGGTCCAAGTGGAGGAGTAGGGAATCAAACCTGGTTCTCCCAGATTAGAGTCCGCACACTTAACCGCTACACCAAACATGACTATGAACTGGCTTGATTGCATTTCTAAATAACAGTGTTGAGAATAAGCTTCAGAGCTTCTGTTGGAATATTTAATACTTTTATTACCATATGCATAGATGTATAATTTAACTTTTTACCTGGTTTATGTTCCTAAGGGCAACTTCTGCTTCAGTCCGGGTAATATCAGCAGCATACCATTTCTGATTTAGAGAGGCCTGGTTGAATTAAATGAAAAGAGAAAGGTTTACTAGCAAGTAAATTATGTGATATTACCAATTATAGAATAAGAATGCAGTGTTCAAAGACAGGAATATTCTTTAACTTTTTTTGGGGGGGGGGCTGATATGTACTGTTTTCTGCATCATTTCCTGTTGATAATGGAAGCTACGTATTTTGGGTCAATCAGTCCAGTGATAAGAGTAACACTGCATTTTCATTACTTGCAGACACAAATATAAGGAGAAGAGGAGGGAAAATTTAAAAATGGCAGGCCAAGCTGTTGGGAAGGGATAGCTAGGCTTTTCCCTCCTCCTTTTGAAAGTATATATGAATGATCTTCCTCTGAACAGTAATGTGATCAGTGTTTTAAAAACCAGAAAAAATAAATTATTCTTAAACATTCTTAGAGGTTATAAGGTGCTATGTGTAAAAATGCAAGAGTTTGTCATTTCTCAAAAGTGATTTCACAACCATATGCAGAAAATCAAAGTGATGAGTACTTGCTGAGAAAAAGAAATCTCTGGGGTCAAAAAGCCTGCAGTTTACATAATAAGAACAAGAATATTAATGGGCTAAACCAGACCATGTGACAGGATCTGATTTCTATAAAAGGTGAGCTGATAACTATTGTCTGAGGGACAAAAAGACTCGCTGCAGCTTCTTGCCTTTGGTTTCCTTCATCATCTCTTGCCCAGAGTTGTATAACTTGATCTCCCAACCACATAGGCACTAACTTGGCAGGATTGGGGGCTGACATCTGTCAAAAACATAGCAATTTGCATCATATTCAAGTATTTCTTTATGGTATTCTTGTACCTTGTATAATTCTTGCTCCCCTTCATATTCAATGTTGGGTGTTTGTGTAGTTTGTCTGTTTGGGATTGGCAGTGGTGGTCTGCTGTCTGCTTTGCCTTTGGAAAAGGTTCTGCAGATGTTGCCTTCAGAGATTTTGAACACAGTTTAAAAGCTATATCCATTCTAGTTCACTGATGTAGACATAGTTAAGGAAACTTACTCTAAAGCTTGACTTGAGCCACATGAACTTTGTATAAGAGACCAACCAAATGGAGCTTAGATAAATATCACGTTTTGCACAAGTTTAAAATACTAATAAAACTCTGGTAAAAATGGGAGCTTACAAAATTCCACATAAACAGGAGGCCCTCCTGAGGGTTGGAGAGCCCTATTTATGGGGGAAATGCATACCTCACACTTCCTTGTGACTCAAGGCAGCTTACAAATTGCAATTTAAAACATCACAATTTAAAATATAACCCCATATGACCCTCTCCCATCAAAAGATGCCTACGAAAGAAATTACCGCAACGTTGCTTGCAACTGCGAAATTAGCAATAGCTGCAGCATGGAAAACACCACACTCTCTGACTCTCAAAGCATGGCAAGATAAAACATGGGAACAGTTCATGATGGCAAAAATAACGGACCAGAATAATAGTGCGCAAACGCAAATCACTAAGTCACATACAGCATTTACGTGAAAATGGAAACCGGTAATAGATTACCTGACAAGACATGAAATAATCCCATCTAATCCACAGTATCATAATTGGTTATTTGTCTGAACATATAATCAAACAATAAAGAAGACCAAAAGGCAAACTAACACACTTAGTACACTCTACCCAGTATGAATCACAGTTTCTGGCACTTTAGTGACAAACTAGATAGCTTTTTGAAAACTGTAATGATAGTTGGTAGAGTCATTTGGGTGACTATGTAAGTCACATAATTGTAAGCTTGTAACACTTGGTTTATTTGTGGGTTTTTGCTTTTTTGTCTTTATAAAGCAAATAAAAAAATTATTTAAAAAGATGCCTGCAGTCTAAACCTCATTTAAAACTCCTAACAAATTATTTATTTACTGTTATTATTTGTGGCATGCACTTGAGAGGAGATACTTTAAGAATGGTACATTCAATCACCTATTGTGTGGCTCTGCCTGCCTGCCATAGCAAGAACTTAATTCCCTGTTATTTCCCTTCAGGTCAGGAGGCTGGCTAAAATAAACCAAACACTGTTACTTGGCATAGTGAAAGAAGGATGGAGGAATAGCTGCTATTTCACAGTCTTTTGAAGGCAAGCATGTGAAGCACATTAGGGAAGGAATCAGGCCTGTAGCCAGGATTTTTTAAATTTGGGAGGCCTTTAAATAAGTTGGGGGGCACCCCTGTACATCCCCTGAGGGCAGCCTCCTCTGTGTGTGTGTGGGCTCCTCCTGGCACCTTCTGCCCCCGCTTAGAGGGCCTCTTGCCCACCTTCACCGCAGGCCAAAGGAGCCCCCACCTACCCTGCATTCCCTTTATGTGCCTCCCTGCCTGGTGTGACCTGCTTCTAGTCAAGGGGAGGGGCTGAGCTCAGCGACTTCCTCTTCCTTCCACTGGTCCACCCCTCCCTCTTGCCTGCCACATTACCCGACCGGGCTGAGGCCTTGAAAAAGTGGGCTCCAGCCAGGGATGACCCTTCGGGCTGCTCAAGTGTCTCGCCACCACCCCACACACCCAGGCGAGCCGACTCCCATTCACAGGATCAGTTGCATGAGGGCAGCCATGAGGGAGGGGAATGGAAGCAGGACTTGGGTGCCTCCACCAATGCTCCCTCTTAGCTGTGGAGTCTTGTGAGCAAAAATTCTATGTTGTGGGCTTCTGGCATTAAAGTTGTGAGTGAGCCATTTGGCTCCTACATAAATTAATTTGCTCTGGAGCCATCCTCCAAAGCTAAGACAAAAATGTGGGAGCCAGAGGCTAAAAAACTGTGAGTTAGCTCACACGAACTCAGCTTAGAGGGAACACTGGCCCCCACTTGCTTGGATGAGCCCGCCCCACTCTCTTGGAGGCCTGCATGATTCTCCCTGTTAGTCTTTCTACTACAGGCTGCAAAGGCCAGGAAGGGGAAGGGGTAGTGGGGATGGCAGGGGGGCCTCTGGGACCCAGAGTGTCAGGGGGCCTTGGCAGGAAGTCAGGGGGCAGGCCCCAAGAGGCCCCACCATAGCTACAGGCCTGGTAGGAATTAAAAGTACTCTTACAACATATATTGTGATGGAAGATTAGTATGTGGACAAAGCAAGCAAGAAATATATCAGGAAAAACTGACAACATAGGAATAGTTATAATGAGAATAAGGCCCAAATAATGGGGAAGTTGGGGTAGGGCTAGGTATAGGAGTTTAGGAAAAGAAACGATAGCAGGGCTCAAAGAGAAAGTATGGGTCTAAGAGCCAATTACTGGAAGAAACAGGGCTAAAAGACAAAAAGGTATGGAAAATACACTTGAAAATGCAGAAAAGAAGTTAATTTCATCTTTATGGTCCTAGGTACACATTCATTCCATCATATATTCAAAATTACTATAGACTACTGAACTCAGTGGGCTGTAAATTAGTCATTATAACTGATTTTGCAGAACTTATTTTAGTCCTGAAGTTCTAGTGTGCATATCAAACAATTTATTGCACTTATAGCCTACCCTTCACTGAGCTCAACAGGATTCTTGTGGCGGGGGGCAAGTATTGGTCATCTACACGCTGACCAGATCCAAATAGATTTAGCTTTAACCAGATTAGTCTTATCATGGACTCTCCTAGGAAAGGTATGATGGAACCTTGTTTGCTCTGAACCCTACAATTCACGCTTGGGCTTCCAAAGATTTTTACATTTATTGTTTTAAAACATTACTGTATAACGGAAAAGGCTATAGTGACTGCAACCAGATGGTTTCCAAATGTAAGCTGAGCATTCATGAGATACATACTTGGATGAAGGCGTGATGGTAGTGATCCACTTGATGAAACAGTGCTGTAAAAATAAGTAAGGTTTAACATACACAAATGAGACCCAATGTTCCAATTTTAGTATATGTGCTGCCGAAGCGAGCACAGAGACCCAATGTGTTTTTGATCAACTGGTTAAATCCAACAGTGCTCTGAAGCATTTGTTAGGCTTGAAGGCAGAACCTATTAGGTGCTGTGCAGATCTAGTAGTCACAATAAATCCACTGCAGGTTGCAATGCTCATCTCCATTTCAAACTCCTTGTAGGACCCATGTGATTACTCAAATTAATATCAAAAGACTGTAATTGCAAGGCAAAATGCAACTGGATTAGTCAAGGAACAGAGTAATTTCAAGTCTTTGCCCATAGAAAGCTTAACTTGATATAACTCGAGAGGGAGTGGAAGGCATTGTTGGGATTCAGTGTCACACATGTGAGATGGGGAATCACAAAAGATGACTGGTTCATGGATTGCTGTTGCTATAAGAGCACTAGACTAGCCCCCTAAAACAGAACTAAAATAAGAATACTAATGAATTTGTTGCATCATAAATAAATGTAATAGTTACTCATGAGTGGTTCAGTCCAACAAACCTTTCTGTATATGCATCAGGTATACTCTTGGGTGGCAAAGGACTCTGTTTAGATACTGGTTTAGTAGTTCTGGAAGGGAATGTGTTAAAGAATTGTGAAGGTGGCTGAGGAACTGGTCTTTGGGGAACATCTAGAAAGAGAATAATAAAAACCTCATTTAAACAGCTGTGCATTAGAAATAATTGATACATCTTATTTGTACTTGCAAAAGGGATAGGGCGATCTAGGGTTTTTAGATGGTTGTCCATTTAATTTTTGCCTCCTCCTCTAGGATTAATCTTGAATTCAAGAGGCATCAGATCTTCTGAATAGGGAAAGTTACTGGACTTGACCATGGAGGATCTTTCCATACACTTGAAACAGAGCTGGTCTAGCCTCTCAGTCAAAAGGGAGTTTAAAGATGCAAAATAGAATAGCCT